ACCAGCAATCCTACAAGGGYATCAGTCACTGCCAATGAGGCAAGTAAAAGGTTGAAAGCAGATGATCGAAGATTCTCATTCCCAACGACTACCCATATGACGAAGGCGTTGACGACAATTGTCGGTGGGGCAGCAAGAYCATTGACGATAGCAAGAAAAGTCCAAGTCGGGTGAACTGAATCTGGACGGTTCATGTTATGAGGATCAAACTCTGGTACGGAAAAAAAGCAAACATCAGGTGTAGTAGAAGTAGGGACCACGACACTAGAAGAGTTATTTGCCATAGCAAKCCAGAACTGTGAGGATTTGCTCTTAACGGTGGAAAGTGTTTCACTGGTCGCGACGACTGACTGAATGAAGATATGTTGGGAATCAATCAGATTTATTTCGGAAGCCTTGACTGACGCATTTTGTGTAATTTGTATAACAATCTTTCTAAAACAATTATTAGGTTACTTTTTTCACTAAAACCAATGTTACAGGGACATTTTGCTTGGACATTAGAAAAGTAAGCAGTAGCATTGGGATTGCCTTTATGGTGTGTGAAATGTCAAGAATAACATCACATATAGAAATGATCCTCAAGCAGTTGAAAATCATGTCAGTTATTTTTCACTTGAAGACAATTATCSACATGAAAACAGTTAAARACAACTTCCATTTTGAAGATTTAATGAGKTTATTGGTGATTCGAATRCAAAAAGTACTTTTACAGGAAACCAGTGGATCATGTCATTATTCCATTGYTTTAATTYRCCATCACAATAAAATTCGGTAAAATGGATTTAAACCTATTAATACTCCACAAAAAGCTTGTGGTTTTCTTGTTTAGCTTTAAAATTATAGCTAATATGTCTTTTTTTATTTCCTGTCTGGCGGAGGAAGAAACTCTATCAAAATACTCYTTCTCTGCAGAGGTTCTATCACCTAAAAATGCTTCTTTGGATTTTTATAATTCTTTTTTTGAAAATATCTCTGTATAATATTTGTTGGCAAACATCCAGCTTCATACTCTTTATATCTTGCTTAAAAAATACAAGATAAATTAAGAGAACGTCCGATAAAATCCAGAAAATTTTAGTTATAGATCAGTATATAGTGTACTATACCAAGAAATTATACTCAGATTATCGCACTGTGAAACAAATTGTGTTTTGTTTAGGTTTGCATTATTTTTAAGTCAAAATTACAAATTTATTACATAAATTAATCAAAAAAGTGAATAAATATATAAATAAGTAAAATTATAGCAAATCAACTTATTTACAAAACTGATTGCTAATCAGCATGCATTTCTTTCCAAAAACATATAAAACGAAAAAAAAATATATTTAAAAAAATTGCTGTTTCAAATAATAAATGATCATAAATGAGAAGGATAAAGGAAACATGCATGGCTTTAAATAGATTTAGGAGAAAAACAAACAATTGCTCCGTAGAAGTTGTGCAGTATTGATTGGCAGCTGTCAAAGTTGCTACACAATTGTCACAATTGTTGTTAATTCGGGTACTTGATCTGTCATTTTTCAAGTCCAGATACAATTTTTATCTCATATATATTAGCAAGGACGCACTCCGGGTAAAATGTTCTCGCTCAGTTAAAGTAACTTCTAGGTGAGGGTGTTGCTTTAARAACGCGTACACAACGCGCATACAAAAGATTTTCTTAAAAGCTTTTTTTGTCATCTTTTCTTAAAGGAAAGGAAGCACTGTTTTTAATTTCTTATCAATTGTACGTTGAATTTTGAAAACATATGTTCTTTTTTTAATTCTAAATTTCATTAATCAAAACCATTTTGAATCTTCGGACGTCAATAACAAAAAACAATCGATCAGAAGAAAAGATGGGAAAAATAGTCTTGAAACCTTTTTTATCCTCAATTTGGCAAGTTRAACCAGAAAATAAGGACTTAAATCAAGGAAAACCAGTAATGTCAATAATGTCTATTAAAAGCAATTTCTTTCATGTTAAAGTGACTACTTTTATTCATTTAAGACAAAAAAAGGATGGTTTGCCGTGCGTTTATCTGTGAAATAAAGCACGCGGGGATGTTGTGGGAATAACAAAAAGGCTTTTTGAGCTTTTGTGATATAGAAAGGTAGTTATGCTCAAGTTAAGCGTSACATTTGCGGTGAGTTTACGCAAATATTCCTTTTCCAATGACCGCTGTCTTATTAGACTTGCCACAAATCGGACTCTCTTTGGACTCAGAAAAAGAAGGAATAGAACTAACTCCGAGCGCGAAACGCGAGAAAAAAAAAGCAAGGAGTTAAAAGGGACTTTGCGGAAGTCTACTRTCTTATTTGAAAGCAGAAGATCTTTAACAGAAAGATTATGAAAAAACATAACATTTTCGCATATGCAATAGTTCAAGAAATGTTAGCTGTCTCTGAATTGACGCTATGTTAAATCTGTGTCTATAGTWGATTTTAGTAAACTTTACTCGCTCCTTCCGGCTCGGTAATTCYCTTCCMTTTGGGTCTTGTTTGTCCGTTAATCAGCTGGGAAACAGCGCTCAAAGAGGTCAGTGAAAAGGCGAAAAACCAATAAAATACGGCTTACATCAACCCGCACCATGACGTTTTTATTCCCACCAAGTAATATATATTTACAATAGTAGTTGAAAGAGAGAAAGAGGCGGTAAAGACCGTTCCACACTGGTGATTTTTGCTGCAATATGATTATTGTTGCGATTTTTTCGGCGATTTTCAAGAATATATTAGATTATTTTTGTCTTATCCTTGTGAGGAGAGTTTATCTCAGTGTACTAAATAAAAATTTAAAAGTTTATTCCTGAAAATTATTTACTAGGCCAAAAAATGGCCTCAAAAATCGCCAGTGTGAACGTCCCTTTACAGTGAATACATGATATATAGATTTTATACTGTACAATAATGAGGTGCTTATTGATCTAAGATATTAATATTTACATAWCAAGATACGGTACGWATCTTCTTCTGTCTATTTATAGATAACGTTGAAATAACTAATCAGATCTCTGTCCACAGAGATGAGATGCCTTTCGTAACGTGTCTTAGCGATTTTTGTTTCTCCTTTACGACGTTTGTGGATGTTCTAACGTGAAACGTTTCTTCGTAGGTYGAAAATAAAAATTYATTGATTAATTTCTATCAAAAAATGGATAWTTTTTTTTTCGTCGAGTGAAAGGSAGAATTTKGTGAAATGGGATGTTGACAGGATTGGACAGAAAATACAAATCGAGATTTTCGCAATTTTCTTTTACAAAATASGATTTCAAAAAATCGTAAATATTTAACAATTAGACCGGGMTACGGTTCATTAGCCCACGAGACCGAAGGTCGAGTGTGCTATTGAACGTAGCCCATGAGGTCTAATTGTTTTAGTATCCAACAAMTTTTTGAAATTATCCACGTTTTTCATAGTAGTATAATACAATTAAAAGCTTGTCAAGTTTTTATCTTTTTATATTTTATCGGAGTTGAACATTGGAACCTCGTTTGAGGAAAAACTGWACAGTTGTTCGCTAGTCATTTTTTCTTGAAAATTCCACACCAGAACAAATTTTAGGAKGAATATATTGAATGTTTCTGTATTGAGTTTTCCCAGCTAGTTTTTGATTGAAAATGTCATAATCCACCAGTAAGCTTTCTTTCTAAAGTAAACATGAAGTAGGCCTGATGCTTGACAAGACCTTACGGACTTTACTCGCTCGTCCATTCCTCTTTTTAGTAACTGCGTGCAAAACTCGCACAAAAAAGCCGGTTTGAACCCGTTTGTCAGTAAAATACTGAAAAGCCATTCGACTGCTACAAAACAAAAATATTGATCATTTTTTAGTCAAAAAAGTAATATTTTTATTGCCAAAACAACTAAAAATTGAATTTACGAGCACTTCGTCATTTTTATTTTCTCCAACCATGGTCTATCACGCAATAGACCATGGTTGAGCAGCCAATGAGACCGCGCGATTTGTAATATACCATAAGTTGTTGGATACCAATAATGGTTATATAATTATTGATCAAAGATTGCATATATATTTAAAATAATTGTTGTTKTTTTTCAATGAGATGGAAGATGTTAAAATTCTTCAAGTTTGAAGCTGTTGTATTGTTAGGTTGTAAGTTAATCCATGTAAGTTAATACTGGGTAAAAGTGCATGGACATRAACCCATCATTTTTAACAAAAAAGGCAAATATGATGCACCACCTGGGAATATGGTTACTTCCTACATCATTGCCTACGATAAATGCCATGAAACCATTTTAAGGAAAGCCTTCAAAGTTCAAGTACCTAATAAAGCCT